ACAGTACTAATCCAAAACATAAAAATAGGTTAAACTCATTTATTATCAGTTTGAATGACAACGTGATAATCTAGTGTGTCCTTTGTTTCGTTTTGTTTTGTTTTTGTTCATTTGTGTGTTTGTTTTTGGTGGCTGGCCTGTAAGGAGACCCAGACTCTTGACCTTGGAGTGGTACCACCGTGCTCTAACCAACTAAGCTAACCAGCCAGCTCCCACCTCCCCCCACCACCTCTTTTATCTTGATGTGGTATTTTTAAGAACCGTGGGTGAAAAAGAATACAGGATGGTGGGACATGAGAGGTTAGGAAAATAGATGCCATGCATACGTGTTCTCGCCTAGAGCTGGCAGGAGTGGGTTCTCACAATCAGACAGAAGTGGGCTGGCTGGTGTGCGCAGTGGGTTCGAGCACAGTGGTGCAACACCAAGACTGAGGGTTCAGATCCCCCTTCTGGCCAGAAGCTGCACACAAACAACAATAGCGACAAAAGCCCCATCACATGAAAACAACCATGATCAAATAAAAGAGCATTTGAGCTAGAAAGCATCGGTCAGGAAATGAGGTACACTCCACAGTGACCAAAGGAGCGGGCCTCAGAGAGGATGAGGCTGAATCTCCTACCCGAGGCGCTCGTGTTCTGAGAAGTTGCTGCAGGTGCACAATTGGCAAACACGGAGTCATTACTCCTGGGGAAATTCAGGGTTAGGTTCCTGTGAGCCTCTGGTCACAATATTTTCATAAACCAGTCAATGCATAGCTTCATATTTTGTGCATTTCTGTTGAAAGATGCCGTATTTAATATGAGTGGTTGATTCATTAACATGGAACTGATGGCCTACGCTGCAAACGAGTGTCTTTTTTGTGATCTCTTCTGTGTCATGCTTTTCGCATGTTTGTGCTGTTGGTGACTTTGTTGTTTAAAAATGACCCCCCAGCATGCAGGTGCAGTGCTGTCTAGTGTTCCTGCGTGCACGAAGCTGTGATGTGTGGTAGAGAAAGCATGTCTTCCTGGCAGAACAGCTGAAGCCAGAGGGCAGTGTGGCCTTGTTCAACCTCAGCCAGGAGCATGCCCGGCAGGGGACACAGATTTTCCACTACTCTGTATATTTGTGATGACAAGAGTGCCATGGATGCTGGGGTTACAAATAAATTTTAGAAAGTAGGCAAGAGAATAATATTGAGTGAAACGAGTCAGGCAGAGAAAAAGAAATACCACATGTTCCCACT